TGGGGAAAAGGATTTTGTTGCGGACAATTTTCAATGCCTTTGAGTAAAATCAATTGCCAAGCGATATTTTTACACATTTATTAATTGTTTTTTCTTCCCTGTACACATTAATAAATAATATGTGAGGCTTTAGTAATCCATCCTTTGTTATTTGTTTAAATTGATAATATGTTAACGAAGTTTTACTTTAGTTAGAAGGCGTCTTTTCTAATACTTTGACATGATCGCATACGGCTTGAGTTGCGTATAATTATTTCTGTACCTCGAAACCAGGCTACGGTCAGCTGCTGAAAATGACTGAAGTTTTGAATCCTTTGAACATGTGTTCTAACAATAGGTCCTCTTCCAACTCTGGCGCCACGTCTCCGTTGAACACACTTCGACATCACATTAAGCAAAGTCCTTTGTCAAGGGACGAGATTATGTCTATCCTTCAGGATCTTGTCCTTGAAGGTCCACTTGTTGACTACATGGTAGCTCATGGCGTTATTTCATCGACATCAGCTCGTGAGCTTACCCAAGTTGATTGTAAAAATGAACAGAAAATTGCGAAACTTCTTGATCTCTTGGATTCCGAATACGACACACCACAACACTACAGTCAAAATGCGAAGCTCGTACTACTGACAAACGCATTGCGGAGTACCGGTCAACATGCCTTGGCTAGTCAACTTGATCGTGGCCGGAAAATCAAACCAGCTCCTCTGGCCACCGCAAAACTCACCGACACCAGATATGGTTCGGATATTAGTAAGCAGTTTTAGACTATACTTTAAAACATCGTATGCTTTTATAACATTAGCTGTGCTTGCTTTAGCTTTTTCCATCTTCTGCTAGAGAAATGAGACTGCTATTTGATTTTTGCATGATTTTATCTTTTCATTCATCCGCCTCATTACTCTTCTGTGTTCGTGTCCTGCTTTGATACCATTTATCTACCGTTTTTACTAATACTAACGAATCTGGTACGTTTTTTCCATTATCGTCGCCTTTTTCTTTAATCCCCAATAGTGACTTACACTTGATTGAATCCATGTTTGTTTGCTTCCTCTGGCACTTTTTGCTGTGCCTTCTAGTTTGAAGTGAAAGATGACATATAAACTCTTATTGTTTTCTTGCCTTGTTAATACACACATTAACAAGTCATTACACCTTCAGCTTCGTATTCACATGCTTATTTTCCACATTCTAATTTCGCTGACTAGCATAGCCTTAGGAACTACTGTTTTCCATTCACGTTTGTCAAGTTTTACTGGTACCGTTGGCCGTTATTCACTAATTTCTTTTA